CAGTGTTTTCATTACAGAAAAAAAGTGGGTGAGAATTTCTCACCCTTTCTCAAAAACTGGGTGAGATTTCAAAAAGTTAGGTGAGATTTCTAAAAATGAAAAAAACACGAATAAACTTGGAAAAGAAATATTTCATTTTTAACATCTAATTTTTAAAGCATTGAATATTTTTGCTGCATTATCACATGGAAAATGTTCTATATCTACTTTTTCATCAGCTATTCTCATTAGATTGCTCAAATGCTTATCAGTCAATCTGTTAGTATATTTTGTCTTAATTCGGTTTTGGGTGCAACACATGCTGAACTATTTGGAACCACTAAGTAAATTTGTAGCATTGTGCACACACTTTCCTATTCTCTTCATCTGCCAGCATAGGTTTTTCAATTATTTCTGCTATAGAATAGTGAAGTTATTTTCATGTTCTTACTTCATGCTAGTATTTGATCCGTATCCATTGAATATCCGTATTTGTTTCGTTTTGACCGTTCCTACCCACATTTGTTTCATTTTCATTTGTCCGTTACGGACTAGAAAATGTTGCCTTAACAAGGTATTTGTCCATCTTACATTCAAGCTCAAAAAATTTAAACGTCTTACATGAAGAAACCTTACCTACGGTTAACACGTGGTTGAAGAGAAATGTGTTCTGAAAGGGTTTAGGGGGTGCATTGTGTTCAGCTGTTCGCACTGGTTCTGAACAATACTGATAAATAGGAAAGCTTGATAACAAGGACCGATGTTGAAAATAAGGAAGGATCAAGGAAGAAAAGTGAAACGGATTTCATTTAAAATAGCGGAAGACGAAATTTTTTACAAAATTCGCGAGATTAGCTCATTTTGAAATTCATTAATAGAGTGCGAGAACTTCTCGCGTTAATCATTTTTTAATGCGAGAAAAGAAAAAAATATGCGAGATTCTCGCGTTCTCGCGCTATAGTGAAAACACTGTACTAAGTAGGAATTACTATATAATTACTACTTAGGTCAACAAAGAAAAATTTTATTTCAGTTACTTTTTTATTAAATAATTGCTATTTTTTCTCACATATAAAACTAAAATTAATTAATTAAATTTAATGAATGAATTAATATTTGAAAAAACTGTATTAACATCTAGTGTCAACCACTACAAGTTTAAAAAAATGCATTTTAACTAGAGTGGATGAATATAAAAAGTATTTTATGAACGATTGAAAATTTGAACAAGATATAGGGAGAGTGTCAACTAATAGTAAAAATTGAAAAAAAATAGGGCGTGTGGTATCAGACTACTATAAAAGTACAAATTTGGTGAGGTGGACCATACGTGCTACAGCGTGAATCGAGTAATACATAAGTACCGGGAAGTGCTATTAAATGTTATCCTAGATTCTTTCACAAGTTGATCAGAAGAAAAAAACATTTTCAAGAATATTTCTATGCTGCATGTTATTCACTAGAATTTCACAAACTTCACGAAACAGTCTAAAAAGCTAACCTTAACTCCTTTGTGAATTGTTAATACGTAAAAATAATTAAGGACTTTGGTAACAATTATTGTTTTTAATGATCGGCATACAACACTAATAAATTATACTTAGTTAAATGTTTCTTACACAAATCAGTTTAATATCAAATGTAAAGATATTAATCTAATTTTTCAGATATATTGTGTATTTACTAAATAAAATACTTAAGTTATGTAAAAAAGATAAAATTTTATCATTGATAAAATACAAAAATAGCACGATTTAAGATATAAAACAATTACCCTCTTTTCTTTCTATACAACCACCGCCAGTGTAAGTTGACCACTTAGGCAATGCACCACACGTGATCAACTTACACTGATTATACTGCACAGTTAAAAAACAAATATTACAAACTTACGCAGACATATTGTAATATATAGAACCACTGAAATTTAAAAATTTAACTATGAATTGTCAAAATTAACCACCAATGCAATACTTATAGTTAACTCACTCTGGTTATATTATATGATTGAAAAACAAAGATTATCAACTTATACAGGCATATACTACATAACTCTATTGAAAAATAAACATTTATGAATGCACATTCAAAACAATCAGTAAACTGCTATTATTGCAATGACATAGTATATTAGATAATTTCTAATAATCGATTCAAATCTTGTTCACTATACACAATCACTTGCTTAGTTTTTTTCAGTTTAGTAGGAAAAGCTGCAAAAAAATTGTCTGGACAGTTTATGTCATAGGCCACCGGCAATATTACGGAAATAAGAGGTCATAAGTTTTTTTTTTCACAAAAATTTAGGCAATATGTTAAAATGTAATCAATAGAATAGATTCTTCAAAGTGCTGCACAAGTTATGTTTTGAAAGTGAGAAAATGCGGCTTTTTATTTATATATTTTTAAAACACTTCATCATATATTTGAATTATCAATATTTGGAAAAAAGAGCCATCATTTCTAGGATTATATATGAACTGTCATATTTCTTTATAATATAAAATACGTTTCGTGTTCGAAAACTTAGAAGGATGATAAAAAATATCAAACGTTATTGACAGCTCAGAATAAAAGCAAATATTTTTTAAATTCTCTACTACCTTTTAGTTAACTTCAAATATACTTACAGATAACTTCAACAGGAAGAAACTGTTTTTAATTGCAGTTCTCTTAGATTTTTATGAAATAAAAATCACAACTGTTGGTAGAAAACACAGGGAAAGAAAAAGAAAGAAAAACTACTTCAAATCTAGTCAGACCACCAGAGAGGAGGAAAAACAGTTATTTCATTTCAATTGCATCACTTTTTGGCGTGATTCATTCATTGATAAATCGCGACTAATTAGATAACAAATAAAGTCATTAATTTGAGTTGAAGTGTAATTCTTAAAGCTTCCAAATTTAAATAAAATATACATTATTATTATTCTACAGTCACTAATTATAATCTTTAATTGATTTCGAAATATATTGTAACTGTATTTGTGACATCATCTTTCATTCACATCAATGCAAGGTGAAAGCGTGGAGGTTACGGGCTCAAATCCCACTGTAAGCCTAGTTCTACTCTTCATTCCGTTGGACTGGAATATAAAGAGTAATTTACATATTATTGACCAAAACATCATATCCAACATGTTCATACATTCCTTTTTCAAGAATACTAAACTGGCTATATGTATACTGGCTGCGGTCATTAAGCGGGTGGGTGACCACTTTGATCAGCCTGCATAGGGACCGAGGGTGCGCGGTGTCGGTCCTCGTATACTGTTCTACCGTAAAGTGCACGACTTCGTGCACAAGTGATCGGACTACCAGAGCAGGAGAGTAATCCCCTCTGCAAGGTATCAAAATTGCGATGGCATGTCTTGAGGTCATCCTCAGTTAGTCTATGGATGGTGTTTTCTACACTAACAAGCGCTGCGAGTTCTACAATTCCGGGTTACAGTTTTTGGCGTGTTTTGAAGGCAATTAGCTCGCAACACCCTGCCCACGCTGTGTTTGATCTTTGAAAAATTCTCATTGCACTCAATTGACCCACGCACATTCACTCGACCAGTTGCATCGCATCCGCGGAGGAGTGATCTGCTGTTGTTGTTGTTAATTTGCGTCGCACTAGAGCTGCACAATGGGCTATTGGCGACGGTCTGGGAAACATCTCGGAGGATGATCCGAAGACATGCCATCACAATTTTGATCCTCTGCGGAGGGGATGGCACCCCCGCTTCGGTAGCCCGACGACCTGCTCGCGAAGTCGAGTACTTTACGGTAGCACAGTTTAACGAGGACCCATACCGCACACCCTCGGTCCCTACACAGACTGATCCAAGTGGTCACCCACCCGCACACTGACCGCAGCCAGTGATGCTTGACTTCGGTGATCTGTTGGGAACCATGTCTTAACGAACAGTCCACTGCGGGAGGATTGATTTGCAAACACAACCGTTGTACCAAAAAAAAAAAATTATTCATTCGAACAATTAAATTTTCAAATCTCGGTAATACAAGTGTGGTAAATCCACGGGGGAGGGGGTGTTGATGATACTTTGAAAGTCGATTCCTGTGCTGTAACATTCTTCTCAGTGAATGGTGTTTTCAATATAACTACTTACTACAGCTTATTCTGCGAGGCGATATTTTCAAACGGAAAATTTTGTTTTCAATAATAGAAGTAAATTAGATAATTTCTGAGTTCAGATCTGCCGTATTTCATAAGATATTGATGTTATTAAGCAATATTGGTAGGTTTGAAGTGAAAATTTGTTTTAGTTATTTATAGATATATTGTTAAAAATAGGTGGCATGGTTGCTAGATTTTGAACTACTCACTTTTTTGGCATTCCTGATTCGGCCCATTTCCATTTGTTTATTACTGTTTGTTCTTGTTGCAAACTGTGCACCATCTTACGTTAGTGTTAGCACCTTTAGCATTGTAAACACGAGTAATAAGTAATCAAATACCGCGTTTGCAAGAATCTCAAAACAGAATGATCACTTTGTGAGTCAAATGGCTTTAAAATACACCGGAAACATTAACCCGGAAGTATAGGCGGTATGGAGCTTGCAGCGTTTTCCGAGTCTTGACATCATCCATACAACATTTACAAGTTGTGAGAGCTCCATAAAATTTTCAGGAGCTGGAGCCGGCAAAGACTCGACGCTTGCTTTAAGAAACAGCGTCAATTTTTTCTTATAGTGTTGTATAATGATCAATTTGTCTCACGTAGTTTCGAGCTCTCCAAGAAATTTTCCAATTCAAATTTTTTCCGAGTCTTGACCTTGCGCATCATTCTCAATACAACCTTCAGAGTACCATCAACCCAATGGATCTTGGAGCATCACAAATTCAATTGCATCTCCAGGAATATTGGAGTATCACCAACTCCATTACATCTCACAGCATCACAATCCCAGACAGCAAAATAAGGTTTATTTTCACTCAGCAAAAACCTTTTAATGTAAATCTGAAAAGGTTTTTATGCGGTTTACGTGTAAACCTTCTAATCTTAAAACAAGATCTGTGACAATCTTCTCCATTATACGCTCATTACCCTAATCCAAAACCTTGGAAAACAACCTTCTATACAAAAACCTTAAATCGAGATTGCCTTAGGTTTTTCAAGCATGAAAGTATCCTTGAATAAAGCTAGTCTTAATGTGAAAATAATCTTAAATCTAGATAATTATAAGGTTTATTTTCGCAACGTCATCTATGCTCAGTTAAAATACATCTTCTCATGAAATTTGTATGGACAATGCAATTTGACCCTATCGCTAACGTGACGTCAGCTAAAGGTCCTAAGTGACCATTTCACCTAAGTGACAATACTTTAAAAAAAAAAAGCTTTAAATATAATTTTCAACTATTTTAGGATAAAAGGTTTAAAACTGCAATATTTTTGCTTTATTGTAAAAAGGTTTTGAATGCAAGCAATTTCGTGACAATAAAAATATAATTCTGACACAAGGTTGACGTAAGGTTGCATGCTCTCTGGAAATGGATCTCGCAGCAGGATCAACCTAATGCATCTCACAACATCGCTACCCAATGGATCTCACAACATCCCAAAGGATATCAGAGCATCGCCAATCTACTAGAGTTTGAAAAATTACGATGCATTTCAGAACATCATCACGGAGCAGTCTACACAATTGCAGAGCAATGTCATGCAACATCTCAATGGAACAGCTCGGGGATTGTGTAACGAGCCAATTATTCAAGCTTACACAAACCAGAACTCGTGGAGCATGTCAAGTTTTAAAAACGTAGATTTTCTTGGAATCGGGCTCCAAAAATTTTAAGGAGCAGATGCCAGCAAGACTCGACGCTTGCCTTAAAAGAGCAACGTCGGAAATTTTTTTTACCAGAAGTGGGCGTGGCTTATTAAGCTCACATTACAACGTCAATTGAAAGTGTCATAAAAAAAAACTGACACGGAAAATTTTTTGCTCGACCAAATTTTCCAGCCGATTGAAAAATTGTTTGTATGAAGCGATGATCTAATAAACTGTTATCTTTTCTACTATTTTACTATTCTCTTTTCACATCAATAAAAACAGAAAAAAAAAACACATAAAGGGGCCGTTTAAAAAGTACGTACACAAAAATGTAGAAATTTCAAACCCCTCCCCCCCTTCGTACATTACCGTACATAAGGTCTTACTCCCCCCCCCCTTAGAGTACGTACATTTTATTAGTCTACCCCCCTTTTTCATAAAAATTAAAATAATTATGTTTTAAATAAAATTAAATATTTACTTAAGGAGTGTGTAGGATAAAGTCAAATTTAAATTTGGTGTATGTTTATAAAGTACGTACTTTGTATAATACCCCCCCCCTCCCCATCGTACAAAACCGTACATAATAGCAAATCCCCTCCTCCTCCCCCCTTCGGGATGTACGTACTTTTTGAACGGCCCCTAAAACTGATAAAATTACATGTTGAAAGGTAAATATTAAAAAAAAAATACATGTTTGAAAGCTTAAGAGGCTCTAAATCTGTGAGCAACGCGGTTGGTTTCAGAGCATCCCAATGGATTTCGGAGCAATGCTTTCCCAGTGGAGTTTCTAGCAACACTGTCTTCATGGATTCGGGAAAAAATGAACAATGTCCAAGGCTTTTGCAAGGAATATGTTGACATGGCAAGGTTTATTTTCTCAAAATCTTGTATGTTTCAGCTAAATTTCACCTTGTCATAAAATTTTAATGGACAATGCAATTTGATCCTATCTCTAGTATGACGTCAGCTAAAACGTCATTATCAGGGCTAAAGAAAATAGAAGGGCTGGTTCACTCCTTTGAAGTAGCTCTCGCCGCGCCAATCCTCCGATTTTCTCTAGTGACGTCACTTTGGCGCAAAGCTCGCACTTTTACTTCAAGAACGGAGCGTTCGGCCTTACTAGCTCTAACTAATATTGGAGCATTTCTTTTTGTGACATATTCTAGGACATTTGATATTTTCTATAATGATTTTCCTCAGTTTTTGCCGTGAATTTATAAAATTTTAAAACTATTAACGAAATTCCAGTTTGCGCGATTGCAACTTGCAAAAATTCTGATAGAAAAACAAAAGGAAAAAATATAATTTTCCGCGTGTTCCCTAAAGTAAATGAACAACTATGTAAGGAATGGATTCCGAAATGACACATTTAATATAAAACAGAAATACGTTTTTTCTATCGTTAAGAACTTTTATGAAAATTCGTTATCTAAATAGAAACCGCCTCGTTACTTCAAATAGAAAGGCATGTGAAAAAAATGGATAAAGTCAAAGAAAATTCAAACGTAAGTAAAAAGTATAAATAAAATATATAGTGTACAGTTGAAATTCTCCTAATTTCATAACTTATTTTTTAATGTAGTTATTCTAAAAATTTACGATTCCTTATTCTCTTGAATTTAAATATCTATAAATTATATCATCTTAAATTAAAATATCTATAACAATTGTAACATTTCTAATGTCATTATGAACCTAAATTATTATTTTGTTTCAGTAATTAGCGTTTAAGGTTGATGTTTCCTAATGATTAAGTATGAACAAATTGCTATGAACGGCATATTTTAAAATTGGGGATTCTAAATTTAACTCAACTTATTGTTATAAAAGAATATGTAGATAAAAAAAGGGTCGATATATGGTTTCAGTTTTCTTAATAATTAAAATTAAAACTGAACTTTTTAAAATAAAGTATTTTCGCCATCTAGTAAAATATTTTTATAAGTTTAAAATGGTATTTTTTTTTAATATAATGGCCAAGAAAGTTTTTTTAAACTATGTTTATGAATGGAAATAATATGTTAGTTACGTAAAGTTTGAAAACTGATAACCAGAAAAAGTCTAACTTATCTTTACAAAGAGAAAGATGCACAGTTATCATAA